CCCCAAACCTCTGAGCAGCATCACAACTGTTGTTCACTGTTCTCAGTGATGTTTTTAGACGAGAAATGGTGAGCATAAACCCATCACGAAGCTTTAAGTTGTCATTTAAAACTTGCTAAAACAAAGGGGGTGCCTAGGATTAATTGTCGTACTTACTTAAGTAGCCTAGATTACTCTGAAATAGATGAACATTGGGGCAGCTTTGCATAGACAGGAAGATGCTTCAGCTCAGGGGTACCATTTCTTGTGCTCCTACAATGTTTTGCATTAATTTTTGGAAGATCTCGTGAATGTCATCAGATATTCAAGGATATGAAAAGTTATTTTGCCTTATTTCTGATTTAGTGCTAAATATAACAGATGGCCAGAAGTTAAGTAACATCAGATGTTTGTGGCAATTGAGGAAATCACTGGTAGAGCTGATTTGCAGTAAGCACTCTGCTTAGGCAATGTTTTAGGATTGGAAGCACTGTTACACTAACGCACACGTGGAGCGTACACTCCTCATTACTGCATAACTCTCAGTGTGTCTGCTTATGCTTTGTGTTGGTTTTTTTTAATACCAAGCTGATCGGCTTTGCCTTTATATGTGTGTATATACATATATATAAAAAACCTTTTTTTTATATGCAGTATGTAGAACAGTAGCATTTTGTAAGATACATAAAGGGCTATATGAGCTAAATGTGGTAAATTAATATATATTTTAAAATTATTTCTTTATTATTCCAATACTACTTCTACCACTGAACCCCCAAAATTTTAATTGTTCTTGTTTTGTACAGAAGCCTATTCTAAGGCAAATCTAGAGAAAAGGTTTTTATGGAATTCTTTCCTCCAGTCTGTGATGATATTCTTGTTCTTTTCAGGCAAAAAGTGAGGTTTCAGTAACTAAAATTTATTTAAATTTCTATACCTACTTCACCATTTGTATTTGCTTTTCAGTGCTTCAGAAGATTCAGCTTGGCACTAGTTATTTTTCCCCCACTAATATTTACTGCTTATTAGAAGACTGATATGATACTGGAACTGAGTGATTAAAATCCTCTTCTTACAAACACTCTGTTTTGCCTAGTACTGGGAGAGTCTTACTGAAAACATTAACCCCTGTGCAAGGGGTCGTAAATTTGTAACTAATTTTCTTGATTTATGAATATTAATTACTGAAGACTTTATCTTCTAATGATACATACTCAACTTGCCCTAGACACGTGTACTGATTTTGTTTAAAGATTGTGAACGTATACCCATTTGAAGAGTTAGTACAAATAAACATTTTTGTCTTGGGAATCGCTTTGGTTTCTGTTGTTTCATTTTATGTGGCTTGAGATTAATATTTTGTTCACTTGATGGAATGTAGTTTTTTATGGATATGGTATGTTGTGATAGCAGATATGAGATTTCCATGCAATAATTTAAATTTTTAAAAAAAGCTTTTTGACATCCAGATGACAGCATTTTCATTTCCGTCCATTAGTGAAACAATTACGGTGTCTTTGACAGCTGAAACAGGTTTTCCTCTTCAGTTCCTTGCGTTGCTGTGTGAGCCACTGGAGGGCACTGGCGGGTAAGTGACCAATTCCACCTGCTCCGCAGTTACTTTCCTTCCTATTTATTTCTGAAGCTCCTTAAGTTCCTGTATGACTGCAGCTGTCTCACGCTGTGCTCCTTGTGTTTGGAGACGGTTTAGCACCAGAAGCTTGTAGGTCCACTGGAAGTGAGAGAAAGAGCTTGCTGTAAAACACCCAACACCTTATTACCTCTTACCCAAGGCCCTGCCTTGCCTGTCGCCCAAGACCCTTTCAGTGCAGGGCAACAGTCACTACCGCAGCTCTTGGACAATATGGTCCATGAGATCTTTCAGCATCACTTGGGGTCCTGTGACGTGCATCCAGCAACGCTTGGTTCTGTTGCATCTTGAAGTTGCAAGAGCCTGGGAAACTATGAGAGCACACTGACCTCAGTTTTGTCAGTTTTACATCAGCTAAAGGGGGTGGGAGGTGTCACAAGTGTTTAACCAGGGAAAGGAAGGTCTACCACTTAGTTGTGGGGCACCATACTGTAAAAGAAGTATGGGGTTTTTGATTAATAGAATAATGCACTGTCTACCTGAAAGCCTCAAAGCATTTAATAAAATGAGAACAACATCCCAATTCCTCATTTACAGACAGGGATACTGAGACAGGTAAAGGTGGCTGCCCAGCAAGCCTGTGACTGGATGCATTTTATTCCTAATTCTAAGCCAGAGTTTCAGTTGTTAGGTCATTTCTTGTACTTTTAGCTCACAGCTGTATTTGTTTTAAGAGTTCATGAAATCGGCTAGTAGAATAAATATGTAGGTATCTAAAACATACCATCCAAAGGGACTTGAATTCTAGTAAGTCTGAGTCAACAGCAAAGTAAAAACCATCACAAGAGAACTAGGATGGATACATTTCTTTCATATGGGCATTATTTTCTGAAGGGGTGGCGGTTTCTCACTAAATCGGTGCTTACAGGCTGGGTGTCTTTGATCATGACTGTAAATTGTAAATGGTACCCAGGCTGGCCCTGAGGTACAGGAAACATGGCAGAGAAGAAGTCAGGTTCCAACGACCTGTGCTGACGCTTCTTCATAAGGCTCCCACCCTGGACTTCGCTGTAAGGCTGGAGTTGTATCAATGAAGTACATGGGTATCACGGGCTGGTTAATGCTGAAATAAAATGTTGTCCCAGGACACGTAGCACTTCATATTATTAGAAAGCATAAAACTATTTCTTTTCTGCCTGTCTCCTGCCCACATGGAGTTTTCTCCTGTGATTTGCCAGGAGCTGATGGAAATCTGAGCACTAAATGGAAACACTTCTATTTTGAATAATGGATGAGAAGAGTATCTGCCTTCAATCCCAGCATGTGCAAAGAAGAGGTGTTTGGCATTCAGATTAAATGAAACCTAGTTTTCTTGTCAGTCTGTTGTAACTTGATTTCAGATTCCTGCCAATATGCTTTGGGTAGGGACTTTGAAATACTCTCGATCTATCAGTCTAGTCCTGCTCTTATTGAAAGCAGTTGTAGAACTGGATTTTAAGAGGAGAACAGTAGGGTGCCACCCACCCAGCAGAATGGTATCTCTGACAGAGTTCTCCATGTCTAAATTGGATTTATCTATTTATTATATTTACCTGTTGCCTACAGTATCTGTTGTAGAGCGATGATGTGGATGGTAATTGTAGGAAGCATTGGGAACCGTATGTTGATTATTTCAGTAAGTTACTAGAAACAGCATGAATTACTGCTTTTAAATGTATGTCCTTCTTGTAACTCATGCTGTAGGAATTAATGAATAATAAATGAAGCACAGCTCTGGCCTGTGAGCAGTCTTGATTTTTCACATGGGGGTAACTGCCAGAGTCTGTTCAGTGTAAACCGTATTGCACTTTGTGATGTTAGCACTGCTCGGTGTCACTACGCTGGGCATTTCATTTTCTTAACTGGACAGGAGTCATCTAGTGTCTCTCACCCTACAGCTTTCCTTCATATCTATTCCAGCTTCCCTCTCATCTTTATGTAGCTGCACCGGTATGTACTGTTTTGTAGTGAACCTTAAGAAGGGTTCTTCGTGTCAAAAGATGAGTGTATGTACATGCCATGCATAAGCTCATCTATACAGGTAAACCCCCACCTACCTTTTATTGAACGCTTGTGTGCACAAGTAAGCTTTGTAAGGGGCTGGGAATTTTGCACAGGCTTTTAGTGAGGCCACCAAGCGGATCGATGTTCAGCCACCTCTGCACTAGCTGTATCCATCCGCTCAATTAAAGCTGCTTGCTGGTGAAGCTCGAGCGCACAGATCTCTTCCAGACCATCCTACAGCCTTTTGGATGGCAGTTAGTTGGCTTGGGTTAACTGACAACATTGCTACTCTTTTAGGGAACAGTACCACATCTATGCTACTGGTCATTCAAGC